CTCTTGGGTAAAAACCTAGGAGAGGAATGACGGAACCATTGTTTTGTCCTGCAGTATTTCCATTTTTCAGATGTCTTACTGTTTTTCCATGGGGACTCAAAGTTCTCTGAGCATGTAAGCTACCTTGGCTGCAAATATGCCTGGTGCCTGAGATGCCAGATACTAAAGCTTGGTGCCTAGGATTTACCAGTCCTGCTGAGTTTTGTCTTTTGTTTATGTTCTATGAATAACAGAAGGAACATGAGTCTCAGGCTGTAAAAAATATCTGATGTCAACCATTTCTCCCACACCGCGCTCCCATCACCCTGGTCACAGTATCCCTCAACTTTGCCCCCCCGCCGCCCCGTACCTTCCAGACTCTCCTTCAAATAGCTGTTCCCATTGTCTTCCCTGAGAAAAGCATCAGGAGTTGACCAAACCTATGCTTAACTGTCCCCTTCTCCCCAGCCAAGCTGAAGGACCACCTTGACATTGTTCTCACAGATACTTCTTTTCACCACCCTCACATTTTGATCCCTCACATTACCCCTCTGCCCTCCTCATCCCTGATGTTGGAAAGTGTTGTGAAGTGAGAAGGCAGAGACACAGCATGTAAAACAAACACACAGACAAAAACAACCAGTTTGAAAGGTTGGGCTGTGAAAGGGGGAAGGAGATTGGGTCTGGGAGGGTGGGGAACGGGTCAAAGAAGAACTTTTGGTTTGCTTTTTAAAGCTGAAAATGGCAAGAGCAAGTTGGCATGCTAGTGGGGTAGATGCACTAGAGGGAGGTGCTGATTATGCAAAAGAAAGGGAGACCCTGAAGGATGAAAAGTCCTCAGAAGGACATGGAACTTACAGCCTGATTAAAATAAATGTCCTTTGATAAAAAGCTGGAGGAGCACCTGGGTGGCCCCGTAGGTTAAGCGTCCCATTCTTGATTTCACCTCAGGTCATTATCTCATGGTTCGTGAGTGAGTTAGGCGCCACATCGGGCTCTGGGCTGACAGTGCTGAGCCTGCTTGGGATTCTATCTCCCTTTGTGTCTGCCCCTCCCCTGCTTGCTTTCTTTCTCTCTCTCTGAATAAAAAAATAAATAAATAAATAAACTTCAAATAAAAAAAGCTGGGAATATCCACTATTGTAATAGGACAGAAAACAGAGGACATGTCAGATACAGGTGCAAAGCATGTTTGTAGGTGGCTGATGGCAAAATGAAGAATTTTGCAATTCATATTTTTAGTTACTCGATAACTAATAGTTTTCAGTGAAGAAAGGTTTAAGATTATTAACTGAGATTAAAAAGCAACCATATGATGGGGAAGAGCTTGAAAAAGGAAAAGTTGAAAACCATTATGTGTTCTGCTTTCGATTCTTCTCTCATTCCCTCATAAGTCCCTTCCATTCAGGCTTTGCCCCTACTGTGCTACCCAAACTACTTTCCCCAGGTTCCCATTACTATAAACTCAGCCCTGGTCAGGCTGTCATACCCACAGAAAATGAGACAGGTGATACTCCCTCCTCTTTGGCACACATTCCTCTAGTGCCTTCTAGGACACCCTGCTCTCTCAGCTTTTGTCCTACCTCACTCATCAGTATTATTTCTTAAGCTCCTTTGAAGATTCTTCCTCTTCTTCCCCAAACTATTAATGTTGGAGTGCTCCAGGACTCTATCTTTGGGCTTCTCCCTCCTCTCTACATTTACTCCTTTGGTGTTCTGAAGATCAACTGTATGCTGAGAACTCTCAACTTTATATCTCAAGTCCAGGATTATCTCCCAAACTCCAGCTCCCAAATACCCACTGTCCATTTTCATTTAGATTTCTAATCAATATCTGAAAAATTTAGTCTAGATTTCTTCCCACAAAAACTATTCCAGGGGCGCCTGGGTGGCTCCGTCAGTAAAGCATCTGACTTCGGTTCAGGTCATGATGTCACAGTTCGTGGGTTCGAGCCCGTGTCAGGCTCTGTGCTGACATCTCAGAGCCTGGAGCCTGTTTCGGATTCTCTCTCTCTCTCTCTCTCTCTCTCTCCTCTGCTTGTATTCTCTCTCTATATATATAAACAAAAAAACAAACAAACATAAAAAAACACAACTATTCCATATCCTGCCTACCCATGTCTATCTATAGACTTCTCATCTTTCATTTGCTCAAGGCCAGAAACTTTGGTGTCAAGTTCTAATTTTCTCTTTCTCTCATATTCTACATCTCTATTAGAAACCTTGTTGCCATCGATTAAAAATACATGTAGAATATGATTATTTCATAACTTCTGTACTGCTGAGCCATCGTCATGTTTTGCTGGATAGTGCAATAGTTTTTCCCCTTCGACCCTTGCCTCACTATAATTCATTTTGAACACATCAAAGAGTGAGATCCTTTTAAAGCATAAGTCAGATTATGGCTCCCCTCGGCTTAAAACCAGCAGTACCTACACATTTCCTGTAGCTATAAACCAGCGTCCTTACAAGTTCTTGGAAGGGCCTCTATGCTCTAGTCTCTGGAACCTTCCATCAGCCCCTCCCCTGCTCTCCTGCTTTCCTCACAACACCCCAGCCCTGCCTGATTCCTTGCCGTGGCCTCGAATGTGCCAGGCATGCTCCTGCCTTGGCACATTTTGTTCTTTCTTCAAATCAGTTGTGTCACTTTTTATAGTTTTTAGTTCCTTGTAAACATTCGCAAGCTTAACTTTTATCTCAAAGGAAGCATGATTAAGTATGGTTGTTTTTGTCTGGCTCAAAGAAAACAAATTTCTGGATTCTCTGTGGGTGTTTTTTGGTTGTTCTTTACTTCTGCCCATTCTCACATTGTCTTATCTGTTTGTGTATCTGAATCCGATTGTGTGTTGGATATGCTACTTGGAAGTTTATTTAAATAAATTATTTGAGGGCTAATATGATATTATCTTACTATGGATAGTCTTTTCTTTGCTTCTATCAGACACCAGGAGCATTAGCAAAGAAGGATAACTTAATTTAAAGTTTTGGGTTAATTTTTTATAAACAGTTGTCAATGGTTTGAGGCCAAACTGAAGACTATATGAGGTCTTCTAGATCAGTCTTACTCCTGGGGCTCAATCTAATTTTGGTGGGTCATGGATTCTGACTTTTATCTCCCTACATCTCTGAAATTGTCAAAAGTTTGGATCAGCTTCTCGAGCAACTCATCGTTATTGTCAAACATCTCTAGGTCAAAAGCTGGTCTCAAATACTTGAGTCCTCTCTTTGGATTTCCATCTTCTCCTTATCTTGCCCCCACATTCTTTATTCTCTTGTTAGCTCATTGACATTTTTAAATTTTTTTTTTTTTTTTCAACGTTTATTTATTTTTGGGACAGAGAGAGACAGAGCATGAACGGGGGAGGGGCAGAGAGAGAGGGAGACACAGAATCGGAAACAGGCTCCAGGCTCTGAGCCATCCGCCCAGAGCCCGACGCGGGGCTCGAACTCACGGACCGCGAGATCGTGACCTGGCTGAAGTCGGACGCTTAACCGACTGTGCCACCCAGGCGCCCCTCATTGACATTTTTAATAAATAATATGTCAATATTGTTTTAAATATTTTACCCATCTTTTGTCCGTTTTGGAAGGATTGCTTTGAGTTCTTGAGCCACCATTCTCAGATGTGGAAATTATCTTTGAGAACTTTTAATTTGCTCCATCTAGTTGAAATGCTCTTTGTTTAGATGTTCACATCTCCAGCTCCCTCAGTTCCTTCAAATCTTAGCCCAAATGTCACCTTCTCTAGACTGACCCTCCTATTTGAAATTGTAAACCCTCAGCACTCTTGACCTTCTTCGTATCTGGGTTGTCTAAAAGAAGTAAGCTATTTGGCAGAAACAAAGAAGATTTTCTCTGGAAGAATATATTACCTGAGGCTTCAAATTATTTCTATTCTTTTGTTGTTGTATAACATACAATGTAATATGCGGTATGATTTTTTTCTAACATATGGTACAATTTACTTATTTATTATTATACTGTTTGTCTTCTCTCCTGCTAGAATGTAAGCTTACCAAGCATAGGGCATCTTTGTCTATTTTGTTTACTGATAAGATACAGGGTGTAGAATAGTTCCTGGCACACAGTAGATATACAGTAAGTATTTACTAAGGAGATGAATGAATCAAATAGGCCATCTCATGTCAAAAAGTGGGAAAGTGGGCCTACAAGAGAAAAATTATGGGCTCACTAGGCAGAATTAAATGCTCACTTAAGGCTAATGACCATTAATTTATAATGAAATCAATTAGCTTGGTTGAGAGAGTTTCCTCAGGAATGTTTTACTTCTCAAGTTTAGAGAAAATGGATGATAAAGTCTATCCAGGGTTGTTGTTTTCTTTTCTTTTGTTTTCTATTAAAGGTGAGTTTGTCACAAAGAGAGAGAGAGGCAAGAGAAATTAAGGTGTTAAAACAACTGAGAATATGAAATATATGTAAACTAAGAGGTAATAACACCACAATGGAACTGGTAAAGCTCATTAATTTCGAAGTCTCAATGAGGGACATTGCACTGGGGACATTTGAGAAGTGAAGATGGTGAATAGGAGCTAGAGTTCTCAGGGTAGAATGCTAAAAATTGAAATTTCACAGATTTCCCATTTTATTTGTGAAGGCAAAGTCTAGGAATGGCTTTGAGAGGGGATGAGTGAAATGGAATGGATGAGAATACATTTGGAGTTGGGAAGCTCAAAATAAGTGAGAGGGGTATAGACTTCCGTGTACATTTTGAAAATGGCAAAAGTCACATGAGGGTCCATTATGATCCATGAATGGATGTAATCAATAAATAAGGCAAAATTTACCAGCAAGCTGATAGATAATGGCAATAAAAAGAATAATGAAGTGACATAGTTTAATAAAATAATTTTCAAAGGGACAAGGCTTTTGTATAGAAAAGAGACAAGAATGTTTAGAAAGTCTTAATAGCAACAAAAGGTGAACGCTTATCCCAGAAGTTGAATTACTTTTAGTATTTTTGTGGTTACTTCAGTAGTATACTTATTTTTATTTTTTTACAGATGCCTACAACTCTTCCGAGAGCAGCTGGTCGAGAAACCAAATATGTAAGTCCCTTCATAATGATACATCCTGTTTTTTTAATGGGTACATGTGTATGCTTTGAAGGGAACTCAATTATATGGTCATTAAAATTGAATTAGTTGATTTTTTCATAAGTGGAAAGGGATAGGATGGTGTGATCGGTCCAGATGTGGAAAATCAGGTTATGTCAGGTAAGTTTATTGAATAAATTCCATCTTAAGAGAGGTCTAGTTTGATTAGCTTGGCTAAATAAAGCAGAACTCCAACACCTGCTTGCTGTCTTTCTAATTATCGAAGCTTAGACGACATTTTCATTTTTGTAATGGTTTATTGTGCTTATTATAAATGAGCCAGCACATATACTCGAAACATTAAGATTTGTCTATTTCCAATGGGATTGCCAGTTTTGTTGGTTTTGACTCATTTGTTGCTTTCTTGCATTTAAATTATTGTCAAATAAACTAATTTCTACTTATGAGCAAAAATTGACTAATAGATGGGTAGATACAGCCTCACATACTTGATCAATTATATGGAGCTGTCTCTGAATGTCTTAGGAATACAGATGTAGCCTCACTTCATTCCTACTCTTTATTCACCTCATGATCCACCATGTGGCCCACTTCTATTTCTGATCAACTATATTCAACAGAAACAAGATTGTCTCCTAAACAAGTGTTTAGTTTTTAGTTAAATAAAAAACCAGTAAATGTTTTCTTTTAGGTTATGCCTTATATTTTCTACTATGCTTTTTTCATCATCATCATCATCATCATCATCATCATCATCAAAGAATGAATATTTATTATATATTTTGTGATATATCTTCTTTCCAATTTATGTATTTCTGTCTTTATTTGGGTCTCCCTAAGGAAAATAATAAGTTGGATGAAATCACTGAATTTTATCCTACTCAGGAAATGACATATAGAAGGTATGGATAGGAACACTGCTTAGAGTATTTTCATTCTTATGTTTTGTTTTTATTGGAAACCATTTGGAGTAACATAAGAGTAGAGACATTTGGTAGGCTGTAACCAAGTTTAAATCACAGCATGGCTGTTTGCTAACTGTCTGATCCTAGAAAGTCACTTAACTTCTATACCTTAGTTTTTTCATCTATAAAATTGGGAAACTAATAATTGCCTGATGTACAATTTATATTGGTTAGTATATGAAAAGCCCTTAATGTGGTTCTGACATACAGGAATAAGTAATAGTTCTTCCCTTTTTTCCTCTTATCTTCCTTTGATTTCCTCTGCATCTATGCCTCCCCCTTTCTCTTCTTCCTCCCTATCTTGGGAAGAGTAGAAGCACCATGATTTAGCAGACTTCCTTGAGTCTAAAGTTGGGTGCAAGAAAAGAAAGTTCTCTAAAGATGTTTCAATACTTTTTGTGACTCACGCATGCTACAAGAGCCAGACCTAAGAAAAAATAGCTGAAATGTTTTACTCTCTCATCTTCCTTTCTCACCTATTCCTATCTGTCACCAAAGTGCCTCTGATTGAGACTCATTTACAGTAAGGTGGTAAGGGGCTGATACTTCCTCTCACCCCTCCCCAGGGGTGGTTAATTTGATAGCAGTTGGAATCAAAGTTGGAGGGGCTGCTTCAATCTCCATAGTTAGAGTTTATTTCAAATTATTCTTCAATCAGTTATCAAACTTAATTAAAATAGGTTAACATTTGCCCCAAACTTTGTGAGAGCATCTGAGTCACTGAAAGTTAACACTGAGTCATCAAATAGATTGAGTGTAGACTAGAGCAAATATGAACTCTGATTCAGATACGATTTTTGGCTTTGATTAAATTTGGTTTCTTGAGTGATAAGCTTTGTTTTTTGCCCTCTCTTACAATGTGACATTTGAATTGTTCTTTGTGACACCTCAAATATGTCTGTCTCTTTTGGAAGATGATAAAGGATAATTTTACAATGGAATGTAAAACCCAGTTTTTTTGGTGCCAAGGCATAAGGAAGTCACACTTGTAAATATTTGGCTGCAGTTATTACATTTACTAAGTGATGTCTGATACGTTTATTTTGAGGAGAAAAAAATGAAATTTCAGCTCTAAGTGTTGTTGGTCTTAGGTGAACAATCAATTTTAAATACAGTATGTTCTGATTTTATATGTTCTTTCTTCTAGAAATTCTAATATTCGTATTTGCTGAGCTGCAAGATGCCTCACCTTAAGTGTGACTTGAAAAGATTTGACTTAATTAATTAATTAATTAATTAATCTTTTCCTATATATTTCTCTTTCTCTCCCGTGGAAGCTCAAAAGCAAATCTGAGAGGTCTTTTCACAGTATCTCATGGTCTCTCTTCACACTTTGAAGAAACTAGACATCTTCACAGTATGTAGCTGCTGGGACTTGGTGTGTCATTGACTTCGTAGAAATTCTTAGATTAGGTTCAAAAACAGAGATCACATAGTTTACCAACTCCTGCGCCACAGAGGAAAAAAAAGAGAAGACTTAAATTCAAGCCAAGAAACAAAGTTTTGTGACGTTTCAGGGTATTCTCAAGTCGATTAGCACAGACTGCTCAAAATTCTGACCTCTGGGGGCTCTCTAAAAGTATAGTATACAATCTATGATTCATAACTAGTAGAAAATATAGTCAGAATTGTTCAGCTCTATTATTCAATGAGCTTTTGCTCATTGATTCAACAAATAGTTACTGAGTGTCTACTATGTCCTAGTACTCACTGAGAAGTTACTGGGGTGAGGCAGCAACCCAATAATAAGATCCCCATTTCTGCAGCATATAATGGGGGAGATAGTAAACACTTACAATAGTAAATGAGCAAGATACTTTCTTGTAGAAATTAGAGAAGAGCTGGCCATAGAACTGACTGATGTGAAAGCAGACTTACAAAGTTACTAGTTTTCAATGTATTCATATATCTATTGGATTTCCAGTTTTCCTGGGAAGATTATAATGGCTTTATTAAATAACGAGAATTTGTATGACTAATTCGTCTTTCTGGGCCTTTTGGTGAAAGGGTGCCTTTTCTCCATGGGGAAAAAAAAAAGAAGAAGAAGGAGAAACCAAAATGCAAATCAGTTAGTTTCCTCTTCTTATTCTTTATTGTATATATTGTTACATTTCACATAGTCTGTTTTCTAGGATGAGACAGATGCAGGAAAAGCACCATCAATTCAGTCTAATTAGTCAAAGCTTTCTTCAATTCATGGTGTACTTGAATTGCAAGTTATTTTAAAGTAATTTAATTGAACTTTTCTTAAGTGTAATAGAATTTAAACTAGGTTAACAACATGTCGAGTCACAGTGATCTCCACAGGTCAATTGCAAGATTGATTATCTTAATTTGTTATTAATATTACTTTCAATTGGTTTGAGCTCTTATCTTTCAAGTGAAGTTTAAGTATTTCATTTAAACTTATACCAGTCTTATGAGGTGGGTATTATTATTTCAAGATCTTCATATTGTAAAGGAGGAAACCAAGTCTTAGAAGTCAGAGTAGGCAAAATCCTACCCAGGTCTCCCTCATGTCAAAGCCCTTACCATTAATACTTGTGTGAGAATTGGGGCCCCTGGATGGCTCAGTCAGTTGAGCATCCAACTTTGCTTCAGGTCATGATCTCATTGTTCATGACTTTGAGCCCCGCGTCAGGCTCTGTGCTGATAGCTCAGAGCCTGGACCCTGCTTCAGAGTCTGTGTCTCACACTCTCTCTGTTCTTCCCCTGCTCATGCCTTGTCAATAATAAATAAAGATTGAAAACATTAAAAAAATACTTGTGTGAGAAGTACAGAGAATATGGGAATAGTTTGTTTTCCTTAAATATTTTATCCATTAGTATTTATATTCTGGGTCGAAATTATTTCTTCATGTTCAGTAATCTTCAGTGTAAACTTTGAATGTTTTCAAATTTAGTGACAATATCTAAAATGATGTTTACTATATTTCTAACGTTTTAAATCACTCTCATATAAATTAATTCATAGTTTATCAGATAATGTTTAAGAGGTACTGTTTTTCATGACACTTTAAGAAAATTTCTTTCCCTTTAAGTAACAGAATGAATTTTCTATTTGAATTTCTATTTTATTCTGTTCTCACTTTACCACCTTTGAAGAGGAATGTCCTTTTTGCTTTTGCATTACATTTGTCTTAGTAAATATTTATTTTTCATTAACTACTACTGGTATAAATTATTTCATTCAAGTAATTCAAAGTCACAGTATGCTTTCCTAATAAAGAGCAAACTCAGAAAATAAGGCAAGTATTAGTCCTATTACTAGTTTATCAAAAAACCCTTAGTTGGAATCAAAATCTATAGATAAAAACTTATTTTATCAACTCTTTACATTTCATGAGTTACTTTTAAGAGCCAGAAAAATAACAGAGATAGGTCTATTGAATATTATATGGTAAACAGGTAAGATCCCATTTTAATGAGCCTGAGGGACAGAAAAAATTCATAACAATGGAAGCATATTGCTTTCAAAATATCACAATATATTAAAAAATGTGTCAAACTTTATTAAGAATATTCCCCACTATATATACAGGTATTCAAATAAAGGTCACAGTCTCCAATTTAGTCAGCTCACATACTCCCTTTGTTGCTATACTTGGAAATGTCGCTATGCTGGAGTGTTCCAGAGGCGCTGCATGCTTAATGTAGTCACAGATCTTAAGGTAAGAGGAGACTTCAATCTAGTCCATTTCAATCCAGACCTCAGTCCAGATCTGCTTCCGTAGGATGTGACCAAAGATTTGATGAGTTACAGGAAGAATTGTGAACACTTCAAGCAAGAAATTCCACTCTTCTGATTATTCTCATTTACTTCTTTTTTTCGTTCAGAAATATTTCTAACGTATGCTTATGTGAAAAGGGATGAAGAAAGAATTAAAGATAATTATCTGGGTTCTAGTAAGTGAGGAGGAAGAGAGAAGATTTAATGAGACACTTTATGTCTTGCATCCTTCTCATCATCATTTTAGACTTTACCAAACACAAAGGTGCCATATTTCAGCCAAACTTCCCCTTGAT